AGTCTCCTCTCCATCCCTCTCGCACACCCCCTCTCATACACACTCATCCCCTCTCCATCCCTCTCGCTCACCCCCTCTCGTACACACTCATCCCCTCTCATCCCCTCACACACACTCCCGTTCCCTCTCATCCCCTCTCATTCACTCTCATTCCCTCTCATTCCCTCTCATTCCCTCTCTTTCCCTCTCATCCCTTCTCATCCCCTCTCATTCACTCTCATTCACTCTCATACACTCTCATCCCTTCTCATCCCCTCTCATTCACTCTCATACACTCTCAACCACTCTCATCCACTCTCCTAAACTCTCATACTCTCTCATCATTCCTTATCATACACTCTCATTCACTCTCATCCCCTCTCATCCTCTCTCATCCCATGTCATTCCCTCTCATACACTCTCATACCCTCTCGTACCCACTCATATACACTCATATACACTCTCATCCCCTCTTGTACACTCCCATATACTCTCATTCACTCTCATACTCTCTCATCCCCTCTCATCCCATGTCATTCCCTCTCATACACTCTCATACCCTCTCGTACCCACTCTCATATACACTCATATACACTCTCATCCCCTCTTATACACTCCCATACACACTCATACACTCTCATACACTCTCATTCACACTCATCCCCTCTAATCCCCTCACATCCCCTCTCATCCCCTCTCATCCCATCTCATCCCCTCTCATACACTCTCACACACTCTCATACACTCTCTTACACACTCTCATCACTCCTCATCCACTCGCATACACTCTCAACCCCTCTCATCCTCTCTTATACACTCACATACACCCTTATTCACTCTCATCCCCTCTCATCCACTGTCTGATACACTCTCATCCCCTCTCATACAAACTCATACCCCCTAATCCGCTCTCATCCACTCTCATACACTTCCATACACTCTCATTCACACTCATCCCCTCTTATCCCCTCACATCCCCTCTCATACACTCTCATCCCCTCTCATACACACTCATCCCCTCTCATACACTCTTATACACTCTTGTACACTCTCATACCCTCCCATCCACTATCATATACACTATCATCCCATCATACTCTCCCGTACACACTCATACACTCTCATCCCTTCTCATATACTCTCATACACTCTCATCCCCTCTCATACACTCTCATACACTCTCAACCACTCTCATTCAATCTCCTACACTCACTCTCATACACTCCCATCCCCTCATACACACCCATTCACTCTCATACACACTCATTTCCTATCATCCGTTCTCATCCTATCTCACACACTCTCATCCCCTCTCATATACTCTCATCCCCTCTCATCCCTTCACATCCCCTCTCGTTCACTCTCATACACTCTCATACACTCTCATCCCCTCACATACACTCTCATACACTCTCAACCACTCTCATCCGCTCTCCTAAACTCTCATACACTCTCATCATCCCTTATCATACACTCTCATTCACTCTCATCCCCTCTCATCCCCTCTCATCCCATCTCATTCCCTCTCATACACTCTCATACACTCTCGTACCCACTCATACCAACTCATACACTATCATATGCACTCTCATCCCCTCTTATACACTCCCATACACACTCATACACTCTCATACACTCCCTTTCACTCTCGTGCACTCTCATCCCTGGTCATCCCCTCTCATCCCCTCTCATCCCCTCTCACACACTCTCATACACTCTCTTACACACTCTCATCCCTCCTCATCCACTCTCATACACTCTCTTACACACTCTCATCCCTCCTCATCCACTCTCATACACTCTCAACTCCTCTCATCCTCTCTCATGCACTATCATACACTCTTAAACACTCTCATCCCCTCTCATACACACTCATACCCCCTAATCCACTCTCATCCACTCTCAAACACTTCCATACACTCTCATTCACACTCATCCCCTCTTATCCCTTCTCAGCCCCTCTCATACACTCTCATCCCCTCTCATACACACTCATCCCCTCTCATCCCCGTACACTTACTCCCGTTCCCTCTCATCCCCTCTCATTCACTCTCATTCCCTCTCATTCCCTCTCATTCCCTCTCTTTCCCTCTCATCCCCTCTCATCCTCTCTCATCCCCTCTCATACGCTCTCATACACTCTCTTGTCTGTGTGACATTCTCTCTTGTCCCCTAACTCTTGAAACGCTCTCAATTTTCCCCCTTCCATTCTCTCTTATGCACAATACTACACCTTATATCCGCATGGTCTTATTGTCCAACAGAGCTTGAGGCGGTCGTGAGGAACAACATGTTTCGCCTCATACGTTCAAGGTGAGAGGCTGAGGTTGAATACACATGTTGAATCCGCATGGTCTTATTGTCCAAACTAGCTAAAGGGCATTGTTAACATCAGCCATCGTTCATTTCCAAACAAGAATTGTATAAGATAACTTGCAAACTTCCGTGTGGTATCCCTCCATCCGTTATCTTTTGGTCCTGTAGCAATTTTGATGTGCAGGAAGATGATGCTGTCAACATTTACAAGGGGAAGCTCTACCCAACTGCTGTAGCAGCAAGGGAGGAGGTGCGGTTGTACTGTAGGCAGCAGGCGTTTGCTCCCTATTTCCGCTATAATCGGTCGAATCTCATTGAGGTGTGGTGCAAGTCCATGGAGGGCAAGGTATGGCCTCGTGGGGAGGTGCACATCGGAGAAGGGATGTGTCCATTCCGTGTTGTCATGCGGGGACCGCGCTATAGTAACCTGCGGGTCACGGTGGCTGATTTGGATCACGCCGATAGGTGTGTCACCGAAGCTGCAAGGATTCGGAGGGATGAGGTCAAAGAGGTTGCGCGTGAGATGCTAAAGCATGGCGACGTGAGACCTCATGCGCTGATGAGTCGTGTTAGGGCGGTTTTACGTGTGGAGTGCTCGTACACGGTTGCGCGCGAGGTGCTCTTTGAGCTGAGGAATGCGGATCCGTTTTGTGGAGACGATGGATTTCAATACATGGAGGACCTGTTAGGAAAGTTCAAGGATAAAAACCCCTCATCTGTCGTGTCCATGGTCAGGCGGGGAAATCACTTCTACCGTGCAGGAATTATATTTCCAGGGACGAGAGATGCGGTCATGAACTGCCTGCCCATCATTTTTGCGGATGGATGTCATAATAAGACCGCATGGGGGGGATACACCTTGAACATATGCATGTTGGATAGCCAACACAAACTTGTTATGTTGGGATGTGCATGGGTAGAGGGGGAAAACAAGCATGCATGCGCCTTCCTATTCAATCTCCTGCTGGAGGCCGTTCCGGAGGTGAACTCCTCCGACTTTGTCATGATGCATGATAGGGGAGGGGCATGGATATCCGCCACATCCACTTGTCTCCCCCTTGTACGGGAGTCTTTTTGCATCACCCATTTGGTTCGAAACTTCAACAACAAGTTCAGGACAGATCTGGACGGACGAATTCTTGCAGCTGCCGCGGCTCTGACGGAGCTTGTGTACCTCAAGACAATGGAAAAAATTGAGATGGAATGTCCCGGTGGATCCTCGTACCTTGTGGACAATGCGTTGGGTGTTAAGTGGGCGACAGCTTATTTTGGAGCACCGCGTTACGGTTGCTTGTCTTCCAATCCCGTTGAGTCTCACCATGCGTCGCTTTCGGGATTGCGGGATAAGAGTCCGCCGCAGGTGCTGCTAGGCTTGGCAGATAAGCTATCGACGAAGATCGAAGAGAGGCGCCAATTATACTCCGAGATGACAGTTGCTGACTTCCCTCCCGGGACAAAGCCAATAGTCATTGGGAATCGCGATGAGGGCAAAAGATACAGGGTGGCTGAATCGGGGGAACACGAGTACATAGTACGCCAAGGGGACGAGAGGCGAGTCGTGACCACAAACCCCGAGGATCCTGCAGACACCCGCTGCTCATGTGGCTACACCAAGTAAGTGGTTTTTAGGTTCTGTTTTTAGCACTGCTAGCGTATGTTTCACTGGTGTATACTTGAATATTGTGTTCATCAGCTTCCCAAATGTCATGCAAGATCAACCCTCATATTGTACCCACTCTAAATTTTAGCCCCCAGTTATCATAATAGGTCTGCGTAACTTATGAAATCCCCTTTCCTGCCCATTTATCCCAACATCAGTGGTATTTGGGGCAGCCTAAGAGCCATGTATTCTCGTTCCTGCTGCTATTATCATGTTGTCTACAACCTTATGCCCATTTTCTCCTACGTTATACCCTCTCTAACTTAATGCCCATTTGTCCCATTTATCACGAGCCTTCCCCGTGCGACATGGGGAATATGGCGATATGCGATATCCTGTTTAAACTGAAATGTCTAGTTGCCTACAACTCAAAGAACCTTCCCTATCCCTCCACCTTGCCCATGCAGGGGCATAAGGTCGCCAAAATGTCGTGTGTACATATGCTTGCCGTAATCATATTTGCTGAATGTGGGCTTCTTTAAGCCATGTGTTCATGTGTGTGATGAAATCCTGCAGGTTTTAGCTATTCCTGCTGGTTTCAGTCATGCGTTAATCCCTTTTTACCTCTTCGCCCATTTATCCCAAAAACAGGGAATACGGGCTGCCATGCGTACACATCTTTGCCGTGTTCAAAAATGATGCTCAGAGGGCGCACGCAGTGATCCAGAAATATCACACAACTTCAGCACTGCAACAAGTGTACAGAACGCCGATCCGACTTCTCGACCCAACCTCTGTGGTCCCTGACGGTGTTACCCTCCCTCCGGTCTACAAGAAGAAGGCCGGTCGGCCACCAAAGCGTAGAATGCGGTCCACAGGAGAGATGGACCCAATCAAGTTGCGCAAGTGTGGAAAGTGCGGTGAGTACGGTCATAATGCCCGAACTTGCGAGGTCCGTGCAGCCAACAGAGTGTTGTGGGAAGCTTTACAAACCCCCGCAGGGCAATTGTCAGTGCAAACAATGACGGAAGCAGATGGTGCAGTGCATGTAGCCCTGTGCAACGCTTGCAACCGAACGCACCGCAGAGGGATTAGGTGTCAAGCCATGCGTAGACAAGGACAGCCAGGTGATGTGGAGGAGGAGTCATGCAGCGAGGATGATGGGAGTGTCGGTTTGGTTGAAGGGATTGGTGAAGTGGATGAGGAGGGACGGGATGATCGTGATGCCGTGACATATGGTGGGGCGCTGGTCGAGGTGTTTGGTAGGGATCCCGGAACTGCCGGTGATGTTGGTCTTGGTGAACGCACAACCACGAACTCAGACTTGCCCACTCAAACATATAATTCGGCGGGGACACAGATAGACATCACCCAAGAGAGTCAGGCGGGACGAGTGTCGGATACTTCGGTGGCCGAGCGGGTGGAAGGGTTGAGGACTGCGGAGGACGTGGTTGCAGGGCGTATACGGCGGATGCAGGGATTACTCCTGCAGCGTGATGTGGCAAGACAGGCAGGAGAGGAACGTGCAACAACTGAAGGTAGGGGCAGAGGCAGGGGACGCAATGCAAGCCGAGGAGAACGGGGAAGAGGGAGAGGGAGAGGCAGAGGCAGATATGGATCTCGGTCTACCACGGAACAGCAGGGAGGAGCTGAACGGTTGGAACAAAATGGTGGGAGCGGATTGGAAGGGATGGAAGGTCAGCAGGGGTTGAGAGGGCAGCAGGGGATGGGAGGACACCCGGGGTTGCGAGGGCAGCAGGGGATGGCAAGGCAGCAGGGGATGGCCTGGCAGCAGGGGAGCAGCGGACAGGCAGGGTTGGGAGGGCGGCAGCGGATGGGAGGGCAGCAGGGGATGGCAAGGCAGCATGGGATGACAGGGCAGCAGGGGAGCAGCGGACAGGCGGGGTTGGGAGGGCAGCAGAGGATGGGAGGGCAGCAGGGGTTGGGAGGGCAGCAGGGGTTGGGAGGGCAGCAGGGGTTGGGAGGGCAGCAGGGGTTGGGAGGGCAGCAGGGGTTGGGAGGGCAGCGGGGGTTGGGAGGGCAGCGGGGGTTGGGAGGGCAGCGGGGGTTGGGAGGGCAGCAGGGGTTGGGAGGGCAGCAGGGGTTGGGAAGGCAGCAGGGGATGGGAGGGCAGCAGGGGATGGCAAGGCAGCATGGGATGACAGGGGAGCAGGGGTTGGGAGGGCAGCAGGGGATGGGAGGGCAGCAGGGGTTGGGGGGGCAGCAGGGGTTGGGAGGGCAGCAGGGGATGGCAAGGCAGCATGGGATGACAGGGGAGCAGGGGTTGGGAGGGCAGCAGGGAATGGGAGGGCAGCAGGGGTTGGGGGGGCAGCATGGGTTGGGAGGGCAGCATGGGATGACAGGGCAGCATGGGATGACAAGGGAGCAGGGGTTGGGAGGGCAGCAGGGGATGGGAGGGCAGCAGGGGTTGGGGGGGCAGCAGGGGTTGGGAGGGCAGCAGGGGATGGCAAGGCAGCATGGGATGACAGGGCAGCAGGGGAGCGGCGGACAGGCGGGGTTGGGAGGGCAGCAGGGGTTGGGAGGGCAGCAGGGGTTGGTAGGGCAGCAGGGGTTGGGAGGGCAGCATAGGATGGGAGGGCAGCAGGATACGAGAGGCCAACTTGGGTCCCAGGATGCGTTACAAGGGCAATTTGGGTACGTTCAAGCCCTTAACCAACGATGGGGACGCGTGGGAATGCCAATGCATGGGAATGTTGCAGGTCTGGAGCAACGTTGGAGCCATGTGGGCATGCCATTGCAACGGGAGGTCGAGGGGTCGTCGTCTGGTATGCACAACAGGTCGCCGTGCCAACAGGGATACGAGAACAGCAACAGCTCTTTGCAGTAGAACGTGTGGGCTATGCATGTTATTATTCATGAATACATGATTGACTTCTTGAGCGCTCTGCACATGGTTTGATAACATGTCCTTTTCTTTTATTTCCCACATTGTCTCTGCAACGTCACGAATGGTGGGGGCTTTGGGTATCAAAATACTCCAATGTCAGTGTATGGTGCCTATATTTAACATTTAAAACAGGTAGTATAAAATGTTTAACATCTTCTAGTTGCATCATTCTATTGTTTGTGTTGTTCGGTGTGCAAAATTTTTACTTGCCATATTTATCTCAAACACAAGTGTTGTTCGGTTTCCTCCTATACGAGGACACCTTGTTGTGGGCCGATAAAGTGAGTGGGGCAGTTGCGTGATGCTACATGACTTCCCTTCCATCCCTGCAGGGGTTTAGATGGTACATACGGTAAATGTGTCAAATTATGTATGTACAGTATGTCACATGGTTTTGGACGGTGCAGTATTGCACATATGCGATAGCTGAAAGCAGAGCTGGTGTTTGATACAAATGTTTCAGAACCCGCACGACAGTATGCAGTGGTGATTGTATTAAAATAACATACAATGCCTTAATTCTATCATGTTTTTTATGGTCTGATCAGCTTTGTGTCCCACGGAGAAGCCAGCCCACTTCTACTAGGAAACATGCTCGCAGATGATCGCAAACGTATTGCATTTGCATATGATAGTCATGGGCAATGAGGAGGACTAGCATGTACACATTAATGCTGTGAGTGGCAAATGTGTGGCACTCTTGTGCAAACATTCCACTCTCACCAACTTGTTGATCACGAATTCGTAAACCAGATGATGATTATATATGACTGCAATACCAACTGCTATTCATAGTGGTAGTGGTGGCCCTCTCGTTATGTCCAGCATTAAACCGTCCAAAGTGACAAGGAAATATCTCAACACCACGCTTATCGTCCATGTACCTCATCGACAGGCACCGTCTCACCTACCACTAATAACCGCCAACACCAATTTACCCACCCTCTAACCGTCACCTTAGGTAACATTCATAGGTGTATGAACAAGGTAAGCTCCTCTCATCTCTTCTCCTTCCGCCATCCCATCTCCTGCAACCAGCATAGTATGTGTCTTGCAGCCATGTCCTTCGCAGTCCTCAACCCGCGCCCGTCCACCGATATATCCAGCACTCTTGGTGGGTCCGTCATCGTCATGGTGATTTGCCGTCTCCCTTGTACACACTCCGACAGCTATCTTCCTAACACTCCTAGCACCAGATGTACATAGGTCGGCATGCCTCAAGCTAGCTAGCGAGACCTTCATGGTTCTGTCTTTGGACCCTTGTATGACAATGCGGAAGGGACATAACTCATCTTTGCTGCTCACCTCTCGACCAACCCAACTCAAATTCTTCATCGAGTTGCACCGTACCTCGATAAGTTCTTTGCGACTATAATAGAACTCCCTAATCATATTCTGCCGACAATACAACCGAACATCCTCCCTCGCTTCTGCGGCTGACGGATAAACTTTCCCCTTGAATATGTTGCATACGTCAAAGTCCTGCACAGCGACATAACTAGTGCACCAAACGAAATAGAGATCAAGCAACATCACAACATTGCAATTTGTGAGTGAAATTTGGCATTACAATCGAGTGTACGAACCCACGCACTGTAAACCACGAGGATCTGCAAAGGCCAACCCTAAATTCATAGGCCAGACCTCACCTGGCTTGCAGTGGGTGAGACATGACGCTGATCACAAGTGCCACGAGGTCTGATGGATAATGAGCATAGGAAGATAACGGGGAATTAGAGGGGATGATAGGAACGGGGAATCAGGACCAGAGAGGTGATGAGAGGGGATGAGAGTGTATGAGAGTGGGTTAGAGTGTGGGAGAGGGGATGGGGGGGAATGAGAGTGGAAGAGAGGGGATGAGAGTGTATGAGAGGGAACGAGAGTGTGTGAGAGGGGATGAGGGGGGATGAGAGGGAATGAGAGTGTGTGAGGGGGAACGAGAGTGGATGAGAGGGGATGAGAGTGGATGAGAGTGTGTGAGAGGGGATGAGAGGGGATGAGAGGGGATGAGAGTGTATGAGAGTGTAGGAGACGGGATGAGAGTGAATGAGAGGGGATGAGAGGGGATAAGAGGGGATGAAAGGGGATGAACGTGAATGAGAGGGGATGAGAGGGAACGATAGTGTGCGAGAGGGGATGAGAGGGGATGAGAGGGGATGAGAGTGTATGAGATGGAATGAGAGGGGATGAAAGTGAATGAGAGGGGATGAGAGGGAATGAGAGGGGAGGAGAGGGAATGAGAGTGAATGAGAGGGGATGAGAGAGAATGAGAGTGAATGAGAGGGAATTAGAGTGTAGGAGAGGGGATGAGAGGGAATGAGAGTGGAAGAGATGGGATGAGAGGGGTTGAGAGTGGAAGAGAAGGGATGAGAGGGAATGTGAGTGGAGGAGAGGGTACGAGAGTGTATGAGAGGGAATGAGAGTGTGTGAGGGGGAACGAGAGTGGATGAGAGGGGAAGAGAGTGGATGAGAGGGGATGAGAGGGGATGAGAGTGGATGAGAGTGAATATGAGTGTATGATAGTAGATGAGAGTGAATGAGAGGGAATGATAGTGTGTGAGATAGGACGAGAGGGGATGAGTGGGAATGAGAGTGTATGAGAGGGGATGAGAGGGGATGAGAGTGGATGGGAGGGGTTGAGAGCGTATGAGAGTGGATGAGAGTGGATGAGAGCGTATGAGAGAGTATGAGAGTGGGTGAGAGGGAATGAGAGAGTATGAGAGTGGGTGAGAGGGAATGAGAGCGTATGAGAGTGGGTGAGAGGTAATGAGAGCGTATGAGAGTGGGTGAGAGGGAATGAGAGCGTATGAGAGTGGGTTAGATGGAATGAGAGCGTATGAGAGTGGGTGAGAGGGAATGAGAGCGTATGAGTGTGGGTGAGAGGGAATGAGAGCGTATGAGTGTGGGTGAGAGGGAATGAGAGAGTATGAGAGTGGGTTAGAGGGAATGAGAGCGTATGAGAGTGGGTGAGAGGGAATGAGAGCGTGAGAGAGTGGGTGAGAGGGAATGAGAGCGTATGAGAGTGGGTGAGAGGGAATGAGAGCGTATGAGAGTGGGTGAGAGGGAATGAGAGCGTATGAGAGTGGGTGAGAGGGATGAGAGCGTATGAGAGTGGGTGAGAGGGAATGAGAGCGTATGAGAGTGGGTGAGAGGGAATGAGAGCGTATGAGAGTGGGTGAGAGGGAATGAGAGCGTATGAGAGTGGGTTAGAGGGAATGAGAGCGTATGAGAGTGGGTTAGAGGGAATGAGAGCGTATGAGAGTGGGTGAGAGGGAATGAGAGCGAATGAGTGTGGGTGAGAGGGAATGAGAGCGTATGAGTGTGGGTGAGAGGGAATGAGAGGGTATGAGAGTGGGTGAGAGGGACGGAGAGCGTATGAGAGTGGGTGAGAGGGAATGAGAGCGTGAGAGAGTGGGTGAGAGGGAATGAGAGCGTATGAGAGTGGGTGAGAGGGAATGAGAGCGTATGAGAGTGGGTGAGAGGGATGAGAGCGTATGAGAGTGGGTGAGAGGGAATGAGAGCGTATGAGAGTGGGTGAGAGGGATGAGAGCGTATGAGAGTGGGTGAGAGGGAATGAGAGCGTATGAGAGTGGGTGAGAGGGAATGAGAGCGTATGAGAGTGGGTGAGAGGGAATGAGAGCGTATGAGAGTGGGTTAGAGGGAATGAGAGTGTATGAGAGTGGGTGAGAGGGAATGAGAGCGTATGAGAGTGGGTGAGAGGGAATGAGAGCGTATGAGAGTGGGTTAGAGGGAATGAGAGCGTATGAGAGTGGGTGAGAGGGAATGAGAGCGTAAGAGAGTGGGTGAGAGGGAATGAGAGGGTATGAGTGTGGGTGAGAGGGAATGAGAACGTATGAGAGTGGGTGAGAGGGAATGAGAGGGTATGAGAGTGGGTGAGAGGGAATGAGAGCGTATGAGAGTGGGTGAGAGGGTACGAGAGAGTATGAGAGTGGGTGAGAGGGAATGAGAGCGTATGAGAGTGGGTTAGATGGAATGAGAGCGTATGAGAGTGGGTGAGAGGGAATGAGAGCGTATGAGTGTGGGTGAGAGGGAATGAGAGAGTATGAGAGTGGGTGAGAGGGAATGAGAGCGTATGAGAGTGGGTGAGAGGGAATGAGAGCGTGAGAGAGTGGGTGAGAGGGAATGAGAGCGTATGAGAGTGGGTGAGAGAGGGAATGAGAGCATTTGAGAGTGGGTGAGAGGGAATGAGAGTGTGTGAGAGGGGATGAGAGGGGATGAGAGGGGATGGGAGGGGTTCAGAGCGTATGGGAGTGGATGAGAGTGGATGAGAGCGTATGAGAGAGTATGAGAGTGGGTGAGAGGGAATGAGAGAGTATGAGAGCGGGTGAGAGGGAATGAGAGCGTATGAGAGTGGGTGAGAGGGAATGAGAGCGTATGAGAGTGGGTGAGAGGGAATGAGAGCGTATGAGTGTGGGTGAGAGGGAATGAGAGCGTATGAGAGTGGGTTAGATGGAATGAGAGCGTATGAGAGTGGGTGAGAGGGAATGAGAGCGTATGAGTGTGGGTGAGAGGGAATGAGAGAGTATGAGAGTGGGTGAGAGGGAATGAGAGCGTATGAGAGTGGGTGAGAGGGAATGAGAGCGTGAGAGAGTGGGTGAGAGGGAATGAGAGCGTATGAGAGTGGGTGAGAGGGAATGAGAGCGTATGAGAGTGGGTGAGAGGGAATGAGAGCATTTGAGAGTGGGTGAGAGGGAATGAGAGTGTGTGAGAGGGGATGAGAGGGGATGAGAGGGGATGGGAGGGATTGAGAGCGTATGAGAGTGGATGAGAGTGGATGAGAGTGTATGAGAGAGTATGAGAGTGGGTGAGAGGGAATGAGAGAGTATGAGAGTGGGTGAGAGGGAATGAGAGCGTATGAGTGTGGATGAGAGCGTATGAGAGAGTATTAGAGTGGGTGAGAGGGAATGAGAGCGTATGAGAGTGGGTGAGAGGGAATGAGAGCGTATGAGAGTGGGTTAGAGGGAATGAGAGCGTGTGAGAGTGGGTGAGAGGGAATGAGAGCGTATGAGTGTGGGTGAGAGGGAATGAGAGCGTATGAGTGTGGGTGAGAGGGAATGAGAGGGTATGAGAGTGGGTGAGAGGGAATGAGAGCGTGAGAGAGTGGGTGAGAGGGAATGAGAGCGTATGAGAGTGGGTGAGAGGGAATGAGAGCGTATGAGAGTGGGTGAGAGGGAATGAGAGCGTATGAGAGTGGGTGAGAGGGAATGAGAGCGTATGAGAGTGGGTGAGAGGGAATGAGAGCGTATGAGAGTGGGTGAGAGGGAATGAGAGCGTATGAGTGTGGGTGAGAGGGAATGAGAGCGTACGAGTGTGGGTGAGAGGGAATGAGAGGGTATGAGAGTGGGTGAGAGGGAATGAGAGCGTATGAGAGTGGGTGAGAGGGAATGAGAGCGTGAGAGAGTGGGTGAGAGGGAATGAGAGCGTATGAGAGTGGGTGAGAGGGAATGAGAGCGTATGAGAGCGGCGGGTTAGCGCATCACGGTGGCGGATCGTCGCAATGCGCCCGGCAGGGTGGCCGCATTGCGCATTGCGACGGCGGCGGCCTGGTCGGCGCGATGCGCGGAGCGGCCAAAAGCAGGACGCAATGCGCATCGCGGCGGCGGCGGCCCGGTCGGCGCGATGCGCTTTGCGGCCCGAAGCTGGCCGCAATGCGCATCGCGGCGGCGGCTGCTCCTGATCGTCGCGATGCATCTCGCGACGATCGGGCCCGATGCATCGGTCGATGCGCTGTTCGGCGCGCCGGTTTGTGGGCGCATCGCGACAGCGGTCTGATCGACTTTATTCATTCATATTAGTAGTAATTTTCGAGTAACAAGGGACTAAACGTGAATGGATGGGGATAGGCTTTAGGGCTAAGGCACACACCGTTGATAGACGTCAGGTGCTGCTAACGAACGCCTTGGATGCGTGAACGGGAAGCCAGCTGGCGAAAGCTATAGCTACTAGTAATAGCGTGAGGAATAGCTGATGGCGGGAAGTAAGTTGGAGAGCTGCGATGGGGTCAAGGTTCTGTACTTGGTTGGAACCGTAGCGGGCAGGGGGGTGTACAGCACGTCGGGTCGTGGTGTGGTTACGGTGGGTTGGAGGCTCGACGGTACAAGCGTGCATCAAACCTCTCTGCACGAGTTGGCGCGAGCGGGAAATCGGCCTGGTTTCAGGAATTTCTGGCGGGGGTTTCATGTGTTACCATTCGCGTGATTCTTTAGCTGTTGCTAGTGACTGATTCCGTGACCCCGCTTACCAAGCCCGTCAGGATACTCGATACAGTTACCGTACGCTTTTTATTTTTACCATTGACGTTACTGGGTCACATGATTGTTACTTGTGGCATATTTTCCCAAGTAGGTGCGTATGCTTCCGCGGGATCAGCCTGCTGACATGCTTTCCTGTTTACAGCCAATCAGACTGGTCAAGGCCTACAACATCCACGCCCCCGCCCATTCCCCGACCAGCGTCTGAAACGCTCCTCTTGAAAGTGACTCGCCAAAACGCACCACGCTATGTATCATTGCAGCATACCAAACCGTTCATTACCTTTCTAAAAACTCTGTGTTGTGATGGGAAAGGGAGATAAGCAGGGATCCACCCCCCAGCAGAGCACCATGGATACCTTTCTAGCCGACATGAGTTTGATTCGTCTGATTTCGTTCGGCCTGAGATTTTCTAGTGTGTAGGGGAAGTTTCTACGAGTTCCTGCTTCCAAGCTATTAGCTAGTAAGCTTCATTTTTGATGCAGTTGCTCGTGTGAGTCATGGTTTCCGGAGTCTCATCCTTGTCAGGCGTGAGTATTGATTGTCTTGCACGCAACGTCCGATTATTTGCTGGGCAAGCCGATCAGGCACCAGGATGAGCGATTAGTATCAGCAACGTTTTATGCACTCGGTCTAAAATCAATTCAGACCTTGTAGTTTTGAAGCAGATCAAACTCAGCTCACCGATCAAATATGGGCTGGCCAGGAGCTAGGCATCGATCGTCACAAGAGGAGCTTCTAAGCAGAGTATCTGAAATGACTAACGGGGAAGGCAACATGCTGGGGAATTCTGACTTTGAGCTTTCCGTCCCAGAGAACCTAAACACCATGTCAGCGTCGTTGGCTTCGCGGCTTGCTAAGGTTGTCAAAGAAGCTGCTCTCGAAGCCAAGCTGCACGAGGAACGACTCAAGCCACGGCCTAGCCGGAAAACCCACTGGCTCGAGATATTCCGGGACTATGTCTATCCCGGACAACTGATATTGCCAGGCAATAGGTAGAGTGCGATCAAACAATAAAGCTTATATCATGAATTCTCCAGATTCGATTGATGACGCATTCGGTCTTGCATGGCAGGTTCCATTGGTACTGGAGACTAATCGTCATCGTCATGGCACTTTACTCCTCTCTTATCACCCCATTCGAGTTCGCTTTTTTCCGACTGAAATTCCCTCCTCTGGGTCTACTAATCATGGACATTGTGTCAAATGTCATATTTCTGGCGGACATTTTCATCACGTTTAGAGTAGCCGTTAAGGATCATCGAACAGGCACTCTGATCGCTGACAGAAGGAGGATTGCAATAAGGTGCGTTAGTTCTGCTATTGACACTAATTTTCTATCAACGCCCTAATCACTGATGCAGAAATCTCGCAGGTACCTGCAGGCCTGGTTCACTCTTGACTTCCTCTCATGCATTCCATGGGAATACGCATACCAGGTAACATTATTTCCTGCTCGACAACTCTCGCGGACTTTTGGGATGAGAACCTCTTGGATTTTCACTTGAGAATGGAAGTGAAATGACGGTTATTTTCTTGCTCTTTTCAGGCAAGTGGACACCTCGTGTTCGAGATTCTTTTGTGGCTTCGACTGATCCGTGCTCGGCACTTGAAAGAATTTGCTGACAGGCAAGAACACCAGCCCTTCATACCTTTCCTTCGATGGTTCTTTTCTTTTCTTTTTTGGATTTTCTTTCCATGATGATGCCCTTTTTATTTTTTTATTTTTTTGCAGGTTGGGGAAGGACACGCGGTACCACTACTTTCTGGTTCGCTGCACGGAGATGTTTCTCACAGAATTTTATGTGGTCCACAGTGCTGCATGCATTATGTACTTTCTCGCTCTCACCATGCCTGAAGATCAATCAGGATACACATGGATTGGAAGCCTTCAGCTTGGAGACCAGAGCTATGCTGACTTTCGAGAAATGAACATTTTCCAGCTGTATTGTGTGAGCCTCTATTGGGCTATGGTGACAATGGCGAGTCTCGGTGAGTCCGGGAGCGTTTTCTTGTGCCACCAGAATTCTTCATGTCTCTTTTATCGTATTTTGTGGAAAGATAACCCTTACCAATGCTCCCATTTTCAGGTTATGGCGATGTTCATCCTGTCAATCCTCGAGAGATGATTTTCACCATTGCCTTCGTGGTCTGGGACATGTTGTTCACGGCATACCTTATTGCCAACTTCACAGCGCTGGTTGTCAGATATCAGTCAAGATCAGAAATCTTGCGTGAACGACTATCAAATGTTACGAGATATGCCAACAGGTGCTGCTATAGACTCTGTCGCCATCAGTTTGTGCCTGCAGTGTTCGAATCCTGCTACCGTAAGTCTGATGCCCCTTACCTTTCAACCTTTCATGTGTGCCGCCATCAGAAAGCAGATTCCTGCTGGAATGAAGGAGCAGTTGCTATCTCACGTTGTGCTGAAGCAAGAGGCGTTGGAGGAGGACAACAAGCTGGTCAACGAGTTTCCCATCTCCATCCGTGATGGGGTCGCAATGTCCCTGCATGGGAAAGTGCTCGCAGATGCATATCTGTTTCAGGGCTGCTCAAAGGCGTTCATTCAGTTCCTGGTAGGTTGTCTTGACTTGCCACACTTTCCAGTATTGTCATTTTGTTAATCGAGGATGCTTGAAACTTTGTTGTTTAGTTGTCCACTTCATTGCACAATCCACTTGCATTCCGTGATTCATACTCTTCATGCTTGTTGCAGGTTTCACGACTGCGAGTAGAGTATTTTCTTCCTGGGGAGGTGGTGGTGAGTCGGCATGACAACAACCATCAGCTCTATCTGCTCGTGCAAGGAGAAGTGGTGAGATGAACGCACTTGTTGTTCGCCCTACCTTTTTCCCACCCTAGAGTGTACTACCAGATTCAACATCCTTGTGCTGTTGAATAACCCTTCCACCTGTTTCTCTTCTTCACGCCTCTCCGCTTTCACATCTCCTTCCGTTATTGTATGCAACACGTAGGAAGAAGTCCATTTCAGCAGGAATGGAGCTCGAGTGGCCACGGTGTGGAGTCCAGGGGAGATGTTTGGGGAGGCGGGCTTGCTCGCCAGCAAGTTCTCCCCCTTCACTGCTCACGTCAAGTCTTTCTGCAAGGTGCTGAGGATCGATGGCCAGGTCTTTTCAGAGGCCACTGCGTTTCATCAGGAGGATGGAGAGAGGATTATTCGCAATTATTTGCAGGTGAGTCACCACAAGAGAATACTTTGATTTTCCTTGATTACTATGACAATGGTCCATGCATTGCTTCGTAGCTTTGGTTCATGGCGTGGCGTTGATCCATGAAACTGGTTCAGGACAATAAATCAGTCACGTCACTGTGTTGTGGTTCCTGAAAGCATATTTTAATAGGCCGCACTTATTCCATCCTTCCCATCTCGTCTCCACCCTCCAACCAACCTCCCTCTCCCTCCGCTCCCCACCCCTACCTTCGGTCATTGCAGAAATTTGGGCAATCTGAATCTGAACCGCTAGACTTTGGTCAGCCCAGGGCTCGTCGCCTCACAGACACGGCAGAGGAAGTGCGCCGAGCCGTGACTCAGCGGCAGGCACAGCAGACACTGAGCGCCATACAGCAAGCAGCGCGGGGGGACCTGGATCACCTCAAGATGCTGCGAAAGCTTGGAGCAGACTTTTCGAAAGGGGACTTTGACGGCCGGACTGCACTGCACCTGGCCGCCTCCAGGGGCTTTCCGGACATTTGCAGTTTCATTCTGCGAGAGGGAGGTTCTGCCAACAGGAAAGGTGAGCACAATGTTTGATTTGAAGTAGAGGAATCGTTAGCACCAGACCCTGACTGTGCATGGGATATGGTACAGCTCCTTTCAAAGCTCCTTCATTGTCACATTGTCCTTTTCTTTGGAAACCTCTGGAGTAATCTTTACTGCTGGAAGCCCTGCGAGCAGGCTACATGCAGACAGCCGAGGTTGTGCATTAACTTCCAAAGGCTTAGGGAAACCTTCATCAGTGTCTTCTTCAAGGGCTCAGGGAAGAGCCCCATCAAACTTATCCCTCCCTTATCCCCTCAGACCGCTTTGGTGTGACACCTCTACTGGAAGCCCTTCGAGCAGGCCACATGCAGACAGCCGAGGTGCTGCGGGAGCACGGCGCCCAAGTCCTCCTGGACGACCCAGCAAGCGAGCTGTGCCACGCGGTGAAGCGCGGTATGGTGGAGTACCTCGAGCGCCTGCTCTCCTTCGGCCTGGACCCCAATGAGGCGGACCACGACCTGCGCACGCCCCTGCACGTGGCAGCAGCAGAGGGGTCCGTTGTGCTCGTGCGGCTGCTGCTGGAGCATGGGGCGGATGCATGGGCGCGGGACCGGTTGGGTCACCTGCCGGTGGACGAGGCGTGCCGGAATGGGGCGAGGCCGGTGATTGCACTGCTCAAGGATGGCATGCGCGTGAAGCTGCCGCCGCTGGCAAGTCGACCACCAGGTATATTCTTGGAAGTGTTAGGAGCGAAAAGGCATTTTGCTTTGTCTAGGGTGCATCGAATCTGATGGTGTTTTTCAATCCGTGTGATGCGTTACCCATCCTGACGTCTGTTTGCCGCTGAGTGCATGCCATTCCTATCCTTCATCTGTTCAGGTTCTAATGGAATCTCTTGCTCTGTTCCTCCTCCAGCTGGACGAGCCTCTCTCACTCGTGGAGGCTCGCAGCGCCGTCGCCACACCCACCACCAGCCCTCATCTTCCATCGCAGGAGCCCCCGCCGCCATTACCAACACTGCCACCACCACTACTGGCACAAGTAACACTTCAACCAGCAACACTGGCAGCACTCCCCGCCACTCCCGGCCCAGCAGGCAACGCTCCCAAAGCGTCGACACCTATTCCGACCAAATCGAATCCGCCCCTGACGGCAGCAGCTCGGGAGCTGCGTCCCCCTCCACCTGCCTGCCCTCCGACCCCTTACTCCAGCAGCGCGTGATGCACCTGCGCCGCCGCCCCACCAGTTCCGTGCACATCCCCGCTGACCTCCTGGCCGACCTTCCTGCTTCGGTTTTCGATGAGTACCTCTCAGAGCACCAGACTGCATCTAATCAGCCGCTCTTCACCCCTCCTGCGTCACCCCTTGCGCATCTGCTCCTGCCCAAGCTCCATGCTGCTGGTTCTTTGACCCCGCCACCCTCGTTTGATGGCGGCTCTGAGTTGCAGCCTCGCTCGTCCTCAGCAACCTTCCCACTCTCTGAACCTTTACTCCCACCTATTCCACATCCACACACCACACACACTGCACATGCCACCACGCATGCCGAACACACCGTGCACACAGCACCATACCGCTCTGCCTCTGCTGCTCTCCCCCCTGCTCCACCTGCCCCTGGCGTATCCTCTGCTCCCCGTGCACAACAGCGGCCCACGCCCCTCACCATCGACCCTCTAGACAGAAGCATGAGTCGCTCCTCCACAGCCCCGCATTCATCACTAGACGAAGTCCGCACCCAACTGATACCAGCCTCACCAGAACCCTCCACTCCCTATGCGACCAGCCAGCCCCTGTCAGGACCCCTGTTGAGAGTGGGAGAACCGATCACTCCCTACCCTCATCGCAACTACATGCCTGCAGGATCGTTCTCAGGATCTTTCAGAGCCTTGCCTCCGCCCCCAACCCCATCTGTGGCTGTGGCCAACCGCCGTGTCACAGTCTTCCCATGCCGACCATGGGACACTGGCCCAGCTGGCAATCCACCTGGGGATTCTCCTGGGGAAGATGAACTTAGCGAGGGAGCTCATGGAAGGCAACCACGTGACTGTTTGCCTGATCAGGCTGTGCATTCATCAGGGGATTCTGCATCGCCTGAACCTGGGAGGGAAGGAGGTGTTGGGAGCCGGGCTGGAGAAGAGAAGAGATTCATGGGGCGACCATATGGGAAGGTGGTGTTGGTACCCCTCTTTATGGTCACCCTGAAAGAGCAGCTGAGCACGCTGTTAGGATTCCCTGTGAGAATCCTGGTGAATAAGGATGGTGGGGAGATCACTGACACAGATACTATTCGGGATGGAGATGTCATTTTTGCTCCACCATCTGAACCTGCTCTATCTGGTAAGTTACATGTGCATGCACTAAATGTAGATGCACATGCACGTGCTGCATGCATGCTCAGTCAAGCTGTACTAATTCTACACGATCATACGAACCAGTTCTGTTTAGAGGTTTTCTCTCACTGTGGTTTTGCTTTGCTGCGCCTCTCTGTGCTCGTCTGTGGCAGATCCCCTTGCGTGCCAATCCTGCAGATGTCGAAAAGTACCAGCACCAGGTGATTCCAATCGGTAGTGTGTATCATCCATGTGGTACTTGCGCCTGCTAGCAAATGCAATGCTAGCGTACGGCACGAACTTGCTTACATGTAACTTGTATATTGAAGTTCCAGTGTGCACCTAGTTCTACTCTCGAAATGGAAAATCAGGTGTATATGCATGGAGTAAGGATCTGTCACTACACTTCAAGTTTTCCGCACATCCCTCCAGCACTCCAAGCACTAAACTTGTCAGCACAGCACAGCACAACACAGCACAGCAGCCAGTATTTTGTTTGCACCCATAACTTTAGATGGACCTGGCCTGAGCCTTGCTCAAAACAGCTCATTTACGTGTATGTACACCCAATTTCCAGCGTTACATGAAAGAGCATACAACATACTGATGGTAAGGTCTCCACTATTGATGCACCCACGGAAGGGGAAAGACACTACCGCTCCAGCAGTCATGTGCCCAAACTGCACTTATTGCACTCCCTTCACTGTAAACCCCACAACAAAGCTTGAGAACGGTGTTGCTTGCACGGGTGAAGTGGAGTGAGTAAAGAAAGCACCAGGAGGAGCAACAGCAAGTCCACACCAGCTTAACCCCATACCCCCCCACCATCCAGCACAGCCCACCTTCGCCACTACCCAACCTCAAAACGCTCCGAGCAGCCCCAACACACCCCAGCCTTCGTCCCAGCCCGCGCTCGGCTTTTCCCCACACCGCACGCCTACAAAACCACTCCTGCTGAATCCCTCCTCCCCTGCACCCAACCTCCCAGCACACTCAGGCGGCACAGAATCGCGGAAACTAGCCTCGGAAGAGATCCCCCCTGCAGCCAATCGCCTCTCCTCTGCCACTCCTCCGCACACTGGGAGCCTTCCACACGTCTGCAGATTGTTTAGATTCTCAACAACCGTCAAGTCACCTTCCCGTGCTGCTGCTTTAAGCGGGTCTGCTCCCATCCGACTGCCCCTCGTCGCCGTATCTGCTGCAGGTACGTTCGCCAGGTTCGCCATCGGAACCCGAAGCTGCGAGGGAGCATCGGAACCGGCAGGACTTGCAGAAGCAGCTGCTGCGTTCGCGTGTGATGATGTTAACAATGCACCTGTCTCACCCTCCCTTAAGCCCCCTGTATTCTCCTTCGAATCATAAGCTGCCACCGCCGCCGTAGCTTTCGCAGCCGAACGATCCACCGTCCTTTCCTCCGCCTCACGCAACAGACGCGCGCAGTGCGCGCTGCCCACCCGCTCCGCGTAATCCCGCGGGTTCCGCCCTTCCGCGTCCGCCGCCCCGCACAGCGCGCCGTGGCCCAGCAGGAGCTGCACCATCTCAGGATTCACCTGCTCCGCCGCCAGATGGAGCGGCGTTACCAGCCGTTGATCTTCCGCGTTCACCGACGCGCCGCGGTTGATCATCACGCGGGCAAGAGAAACATTTCCCGACGCTGCGGCGTAGTGAAGGACCGTTCGGCCGTACTTATCACCGGCTTTTAAGGAGCGCGGAGGAGTGCTTATAAGGAGGATCTTCGCGATGTCTTCGAGGCCCACAGCGACCGCCCAGTGCAGAGGGGTGCGATCAATCTTGTCGCGCGCCGTCACGCGCGCGCCGCGGTCGATGAATCTACGGACGGCGAGGATTCGACCGGAAAGGACGGCGGCGTGAAGCTCGGTGGCGTACGGACTGGCTGATAAGCCCATCGTATCTAACCTCTTGCTGGGCTTCAGGAGCGCGGATCGAGAATCTGACTACAAAGGAAAGACGAGAACGACCAAGAAAACGATGCTAGCGTTTTTCACGGCGCGGAGGGAAGAAGAAGTTTTTAAGGAGGAATCTGGAAGAAATATACAGCTCCGTCGAAGTCTAGAGAGGCAAGTCTAGCGAATTTCAAACAGGCAGTGGTATGTATGTTGCTTTTTGTGCTGTCAACAAGTTAGCGACTCTCAGGAAGCAGTGTTCGTGACTCTCAAGTTGGGTCAATTATTGGATGTGATGTGTGTCCAGCAAGCAAAGGAAAGCAATAGGAAGGAATCCTCTCCAACACGCAAATGACGCCTAGCAAACGTGTAGAAACAATGGAGGGGAGTGTGTGCAAGGGGAAAAGTGGAGTTCTGGATTGCGTGAAGAAGAGGAGCTTGCTAGTTTTGGTTTGGTTTGGGAAGAAAATTCAGCTGTGGAGAGAGGGAGTCGGGGGGAAGGGACGAAGGAGCCGAGGCAGATGTGGAGAGCAGAGGGGCGGTGGATGGACAAACACGAGAGACGCGTTTCGGCGCGTTTCGCAGGAACGGACGGCTTCGATTGAAGCCTTCGGTGTGCTGGATGTGGGTGAGGGTCATAAATATTCGCGACCGCGCAAATTATTGAGGGTGGGGAAAACTGTGGGTGCAATAACGGCCATTATCTCCGATACTCAGATTTTGCCTGAGCGCGTTCTCAGGTGTAATCAACCTGGACTTTCTCAACGTTGATTGGTCGTCGCTTTATAGTCACATTTCTCACACTGGTCGAACTCATTAGGAAGTAACAAAAACAGAAAACTCCAGTTTACCCTCTCGACTTGGATATAAGAACGGAAATTTTGGTAGAAAGAGAATAAAGCCCATATAATTCACTTGGTAGTGCTCGGTAGCGCAACCGACCGCTAAACAAAGCTACCGAAAGCACTAGACGACCCTACCGAGAACTATTTCGGGCATGGCAGAAAAAAATAAAACCCCTAGGGAATCTGGATGCATTTTCGAGAGGGGTCAACCCTAAACACGGGAATGGGCATTGTTTTTAGGGTTGATGCCTCCCGAGTCGCATCCCTTTCCGATTGGTTTTTTTTGGGTTGCGAAGCAACCTATTACGATCGATTTGGCCAGTTTTTTTTCACATTTTCACATTTTATTTATTTAAAATAAAATATGAAAAAAAAACTGATTTTCCTAATTGATAGCTACGGAAACTGTAGGAGGTCCTGTCTAGTTCAATTATACTAACGTGGTGGTACCGATTTTTTTAGACAACTAGGTTATTTCTGTGATTTACTTGGCTGTGATTTACTACCGTATAATATGCACATAATATGATGAGATGAATATAATGATCGGTGAATGTAGATGAATAGATTGATATTATATGAAATATATTGTGTATGATATGATACGATATGATAAATGATAAATGCATGCCTTATGTTCGATACGAATAATGCTTACATATTACTGACAATCTATGATGCATATTTATAATGATAGAGATGCGTGAAAGCTAACGACCCAAAAACTATGCTACCGCATCCCCCGCCTAGCATGTCGGGGAGTTTATAGCATAATCTTTGAACAATCAGCAGTCACATGAGACAACACAATCTGTGAACTCCAAAAAGATGGTCAACTCTATCATCTCCAGTTCAAGTGGGCTCCCGACAAGCGCGCCAATGAACCTTTTGGTAAAGATGATAGAGCCGATTCACCTTTTTAAAATTCAAAGACATGCATTGTTATTGCAATGATGGATGAATGCACACTCAGACAAGCAAACACATTCACAACAACCAAACGCATGCACAACAAAAAAACGAGCCGAAAACCCACGATAAGACATAAAAGATGCAAAACAAAATAAAGATGGCAATATGGGAAATCCTATAAGTGACAACTACAAATTGTCCAGATTGCACTCGTCTTCTTGATCAGCAAAACTCCTGAAAACAAAAACAAAGTAGATAAAGAGAAAAAGAAATCATAGAAAAGTGGTAAATATAAATAATCAGGACCAAGAGAGAAGGAACATGAGAGAGAGAGAACGAGAGAGAGAGAATGAGAGAACAAGAACGAGAAAACGAGAGAGAAAGAGAACGAGAGAGAGAGAGAGAGAACGAGAGAGAGAGAGAACGAGAGAGAGAGAGAGAACGAGAGAACAAGAATGAGAAAACGAGAGAGAAAGAGAACGAGGGAGAGAGAGAACAAGAGAGAGAACGAGAGAGAGAACGAGAGAGAGAGAACGAGAGAGAGAGAGAGAGAGAGAACGAGAGAGAGATCGAGAGAGAGAGAGAGAGAACGAGAGAGAGATCGAGAGAGAGAGGACGAGAGAGGGAGAACGAGAGAGAGAGAGATCGAGAGAGAAAGAAAACGAGAGAGAACGAGAGAGAGAGAACGATAGAGAGAAAACGAGAAACGAGAGGGAGAGAACGAGAGAGGGAACGAGCGAGAGAGAACGAGGGTGAACGATCGAGAGCGAGAGCGAGAGTACGAGAGTGAAATAACGAGAGAGAGAGAGAGAGAGAGAGAGAGAGAGAGAGAGAGAGAGAGAGAGAGAGAGAGAGAGAGAGAGAGAGAGAGAGAGAGAAGAGAGAGAGAACGAGAAAACGAGGGAGAACGAGAGAACGGGAGAAAGAGAGAACAAGAGAGAGAGAGAGAGAACGCGAGAGAGAGAGAGAAAACGGGAGAGAAAGAACGAGGGAGAACGAACGAGAGAACGAGAAAGAACTAGACAACGAGAGAACGAGAAAGAGAACGAGAAAGAGAATGCTCCATCCTTATAATTTAACTCTCTGAACATAATTGTTAATAATCATGTCAAATTTCAATTAAGGAAGAGGAATAAATCAAGAAACAGCGTACGGAAGAAGACAAAAGTAAGAGCAAGAGCTGAAAAGAGCAAGCAAGTAGAATGTAAATCGAAATAAAGGAGAGAAGAAGATGGGAAGAAGTGGAGAGAAGGAGAGGGAAGGAGAGAACAAAAGTACGGTGCATAACCTAGGAAGAAAGCGAGGTTAAGAAACAAAATACGTCTAGATCTCGTTTAAAAAAAAACAACTCTCAACCAAATGAGCTAAACTAGAACCCACTCTCAACTAGAATGAACTTAAGAATAGAGAGAATGGGGCTTACCTTAAAGCGACGGTGCACATTTGCCACCCAAAACCCAGAACCCTGGCGAACTGTTACTGCGGATGGAAAGTTGTCCGCACGAAATCCTGGTTTTCGCCAGCCAGCACTTTCGCGCTGGCAAGCCTGGTTCAAAAAAAAAACTTCTGAACCCAAC